GAGGAGAAGGGATTGCAGTGTGGCCATCCCCCCTGGGGGGTGATTTCTTGTTTTCTGTCTCTCTGTCTCTCTCTGTCTCTCTCTGTCTTTCTGGTGTGCACATGCACCCTATAGCAAAAACCTTTAAAAAAAAGATTTATTTATTTAATTGTATTATTTATTATTATTATTATTTTTAAATTTGCTATAGGGCATGTGAGTTCATCAGAGCAAAAGAGAGGAGAGAGAGTAAGAAAGCAGGCTGCCAGGTCTGGGACTCAAACCTCAGTTGACCATGTGGAAGTCCAGCACCTTAACCACCATGCCACCTGTTGACCCCATGACCAGCTTTTTCATTCATTTGTTTTGGACAGGGTCTCCCAGTGTTGCCCAGGCCAACCTCGAGCTCACAATCCTTCTCTGTCTCAGCCTTCCCAAGTCGCTGCGATTCCAGGTGCAGGCACCATGCCCAACCTTTAGGTTGGACTGGGAATCGAACCCCGGCCTCCCACGTGTTCCCAGCCTGCAAAAGACAGCATTCCATGCAAACCCCCCACGCCTAGGCCTGTTTTATCTCTTCCTGACTCCCATGCCAACATTATCATCCCAGAGAGCCTGGAATGTCCCTAGAGCACAGCCAATGGTCTGTCTTTCCTCTTTTGAAATGCCAGCTGCCCCCTCCCCTCCAGGAAGCCTTCCTCAGAGAAGTGGAGGAAGGAAAATGGTCTTTCTCTAGACAAGCCTTTGGTCCCATCATCAGCCAATCAGCAAATATGAAGTGCTCCCACCCGCTAGGAGCTAAGTGCATGCGTATTACTGAAGCTCTCAAATTGGGTTTAGAGCCTTCAGAGCAGGGAGCTGGAGCTAGGCCTATCTTGTCTCTTTCTTTCTTTCTTCCTTTCTTCCTTTCTTCCTTTCTTCCTTTCTTCCTTTCTTCCTTTCTTCCTTTCTTCCTTTCTTCCTTTCTTCCTTTCTTTCTTTCTTTCTTTCTTCCTTCCTTCCTTCCTTCCTTCCTTTCTTTCTTTTTTGATCAGCATGGCACCAAGAAAGTGGTCACCTAATGAAACAGGTGTTTTCTGTGTACAGGGTCTCGCCAAATCAGCAG